AAAAAAAAAAAAAGAAGTAAGGAAGTTCAAGTAGCTGTCCAAATGGAACTGCAAGGGGAGACAATCTTTCGACCTGTCAAGCTGTTTGATCACAACACAAGGGTTTTCCTGTTCGCAGATTGGCCAGTGGGCTCCTTGTGGGCAAGACCAACATCTCCCTCGTGGAGGTGGATCCAGGACCCAGCTCGGTGCCCAATGAGAAGAGCTCTGTTAAGTGTTTATGAAAACTGAGCACATTGGAATGTTTCAACTGATTAAATAAAGTCACAATAGCTTGGCTCATAGCAAGGCACTCAATCAAGGGTTCTTGGGGTGAGGTTGGTCAATGAAAGGCAGTAAGACACCGTGATTCTGGTTCCAGAGTTTGAGACTCAGAATCAGATAATCCTGGGAGCAAATCCCAGCTTTGCTTGCTTCTTTCTGTGTGCCCTAAGCTTCTGCTCTGTAGAGGACTTGTTTCAGGATTGTTGTGAGTCGAGCATGAAGTCGTGCAGGTGAAATTTACATTAGCAACTGCTAATACTTACCCAACATTGGGCCTTGGGCCAGAAACTATCCTGGGACTTTCTCACTTCATCCTCCCACAGCCCAAGGAAGAAAGTGCTTTTTCTTCTTCCTCTTCCCCTTCTTCTTCTTTTACAACTTACACACACTTTATTTCCTTGATTGAAAGCCTTCTTATGGTACATAAAATGTTTTAAGTAATTGACCTCAGCTTTGTTCACGCAGACTTCAGTGAGTTCTGTTTTGGTTTTCTGTGCTCAAGACTCCACTCAATTGCTGCTGTTGCCAGGTGGTCTTTTTTCTCTCAGGATCAAGGTGGGCATTTTCATATAAAATCTGATTGTTAATTCCTTCTCCGGCAATTCTTTCCTGGATTCTTAGCTTTGCCTACTTACACCTACATGCACCCGGCATCCAAAAGTCACCAAGATAAATTCCCCCACCCCAACATCCCCTGGTCTAATTCTGCCTTTCCCTTCCTGGGCTCCAGCATGGTGGCCGTGGGGTCCGGTGGGCGCCTCCAGCCCTGCCGTCCGCAAAGGTGCTTTAACCACCCCACTTCTTACAGAGGAGGATGTCGAGGAATGGAGAGGCTAAGACAAGTCCCCAAAGTCATGCAGCTCATGAGTGGTGGTTCTGGGACCCACACGTAGCCCCTGGTCCTAACGATGAAGGGAGCACTTGGAGCGCCACACGTGGTTCATAAGGACTCAGGAAAGGCAACGCTATTCGTGTTGCTGTTGTTGTTGTTGTGTGAGGAGCAGAGAGCCCGAGGCTCCTCAGCCTTTAGACCCAGGCCCCTGTGGCTGGTGGCTGGGCTCCCTTCTCCAAGGCCTGTCCTGGGCAGCCCCACCCAGAGTTCTGGCCACACCCTGCCCGCTCCCAGAAGGTAAACAGGGCCACAGGAGAAGGGACGCATTGTTGGGCCGGCAATCTTGGCCCTGGAGGCCATGCACTTTGGCTTAGAAACGACACAAATCAATAACAGTAAAAGTCAGAATGTTGGCCCTCTTGAACTTCAACTGACCCCATCCCCGAGCCAGTTATTCAGGAGGGTAAATGCCCGGGACCTGATTCCAGGAGAGAAAACTTCCGGCATGGTATCTAGTCAACGACCTTGAAGGAGTGAGGTCGCAGATCAGAGATGGTGAGGAGGGCGGTATGTTCCTGGGCGGGGGGAAAAAGGAAGTATGCTAGTGGGGCCCGGAACAGAGAGACCTACCCTGGTGGATCACGGTGGTGGCAGAAAGCAAGATTCCTTCTCTGGGGAGTGCTGGACTGCACGAATAGGTTTGCTCACAACAGCTAAGATTGACCGGGCGCTTCCTACAGGCCAAACACAGGGCTTCCTCTTAACCTGCCTTAATTCGCTGGACATGCTCCTATGAGATGCATTTTCTCATCGTCCTTGTTCAAGGGAGAAAGCCGTGGTGCGGAAAGGGTAAATCAGCTTTCGGGGGGGCTGCCCAGCCCACGGGAGGCCGGACCGGAATCTGAACCCCGGAGATCTCTAGCCCCTCCCTGGAGGCCGGCATCAGTTTATTTCTCTCTCTGTTTTTCCTCATTTAATTTGAATCAGATTTCTTACACCGGAAGATATTCAGAGAAAGGGTCACTGGGAGGGTCTGGGGAGGGTGCCCTGCAGGCTGCTAGGGATCCTCAGGGCAATCCATTCGGTTCCTGTTCCTAGTCGGACAGGCCCCCTTAAAAGTTAGCCCCCCTCCACCCACTCTTCATTGCAGAGTATTACCAGGGTGGAGGCGGAGACTGAGAAGGGGTACAGACCCCTCCCCAAGCCACCCTCCTCCCACCACTATGAAAACTACAAATTGTGTCCACATCCTGTCTCTCATGACCAGGTTAAGTCGGGCCTTCTCCGCTTCTCCTCTGATCTAGTTTCTACAAAGCATATAACAAAGGTCGCTAGAGAGGACACCTCAACATAAGTTCCAAAGGGCAGCGCAGCACGTCCAGCGTGGGCTCCCCGACCTTACAGACCAGGTGGGAGGACTATTATGTCCGTGGCCACCCCGAGAGCAGGGGTTTGTGTGAATCACATGCTTTCTGAGTGTGGCAAGAAAAATCCCTGCCTCTCATGTCTCTGTGGTTTATCTGGAGCCAGGAAGTGCTGCTGTAAGCTTGGAGATTATGCAGGTTTATTGGGCTTGTGGTTATCCATGCCCATTGCAGGTCCTCCGAGAAATGTAGGGTATTATTTCCTTGATTCTTTCCACACACTGGGGGATTCCTTTGATTAGTAGACTATAAATACTTTAAGAATGATAGACAACATTTTAAAATGGGGGCTCTTCCTGATAAGGGTCAGGAGTTCTGGTTCTCAACAGCTGAGGCTTCTGTCCTTAAGGGGCACCCCAGAAAATGTGGACTGTGGGCGCCCCCTGCTGGACAGGGGGGACCCAGAAGTTCGGGGCCCTGAGTTCAGAGCCAACAGTCTTATGAGGTATTTGAAGTACCTCCTGCTCCCCTCGGATACCTGGCTCTTCTCCTTCTTGTCCTTCCAGGACTAAATTGCATACAAGTAGTGAAAAGGCCACATGGCTTAGGGGTAAGGAGGGTGGACCCTAGAGCTAGACTGCCTGGGTTCCAATCCTATCTCTGCCATGCTGTGTGACTTTGGGCAGATCACTAAACCTCTCTGTGCCTTACCTTTCTCATCTGTATAATCAGGATTCTAATACTACAACTCACCTCACAGAGCAGTTATGAGACATGAATGGAGTCATATGTGTTGAAATTGAGACATAAATGAGGTAATATGTGTAAATGAGCATAATTTTTAATTATATATGTATTGATTATTGCTATTATAAATGCCATCATCATTATTCTCATTAGTATTATTAATAAAACCTAATAGAAAGCTTCTTCCCTCTCTGCACCCTCAGGGTCACTGTCATGGCCCACCAAAAATTCCAACAATCTGGGAGTCCCATAATGGGGAGACAGCTCAGAGAGGGAATATGGCAGAGATAATAATGATACATATAAAAAAAAATCTCCAGTCCCACCCCTCAGTAAACATGCAATTCCCGGCAGCTGGTAGTCATCCAGACCTTGGCATGCATCATAGCACGCATTATTCTAGACACCAAAGGAAGGGAAGAAATCATTAACACCATTCCAACAATAAAGCTTTCTCCAAGGAAAAAGGTAAAATAATTTGTATCAGCCAAGCACTTCCAGCCAGCCAGCCAAGTTTGTTGGGTTTGTTGGCTTTTATTGCTAGAAAAATAAGCTGTAGGCCACCTATTATTGCTTTATTAAATTTGTTTCATAAAGTTTGGTGTCTGAAGTAGCAGCAGTAACCCCAACTGAACAATTAGTGTTCTTAGAAATTTGGAGATTATACATATGTACATTGGTGCCTATAGACACATATATATGCATTGTGTGTACGTATATGTATGCAAACATGTATACTTATATTTTACATTTTAAAGCATTTGCATAGGTAACCAACATTTTGAAGACTGTACATATGTACATATACATACATACAATATAAACAGAATGCCTTAAAGATATTTATGCCCCTTTGAGTGGAATGTTGGTGGTTATGGGGAGGGAATGAGGCATAAAAGAATTTTTGATAGCTATAGGACTACACAGGGCACTGTATTCTTTTTTTTTTTTAAGATTAATTTATTTATTTTAGAGAGAGAGCATGAGCGGGAGGGGTAGAGGGAGAGGGAGAGAGAATCCCAAGCACACTCTTTGCTGACAGCAGAGCTGATGCAGCGCTCAGTCTTATGACCCTGAGATCATGACCTGAGCCAAAACCAAGAGTCGGATGTTCAACCAACTGAGCCACCCAGGCGCCCCCAGGGCACTGTATTCTTAAAAAGTTTGGAAGTTGGGCAGGGCAGGGCTTGGAAAGGGAGGTGGTGGTGAGTGATGGCGATGGTGTATCTAAATGATACAGCTAACAAGTGGAAGATCCCCCAGTAGCTTGATTTCAGGGGTAGCTAGTAATTGTAGTAGAAAGAGCTTTGCCATCCTTTTGCTTGGAAAAGCTTGTGCTAGGCATCGCTGCTTGTGGATTTTCCTGACTTCCCTGACCCCAGCGCCTGGACCACGGGCCTCCTCCGGGCCTCTGCAGCACCCTATCCCAGCCGAGGCACTCACCACTCTTTTCTCTGACTTCTCATTCGAATGGGAGCTTCATGGGGGTGAAGATATGCCTTTCCTTTTCACTTCTGGATCTCCAGCACAGAGTTGGCATGCAATAAATATTTGTTCCGGGTTTGAATGAATAAGCAGACAAATGGACACATGTATGAGTGGACAAATGAATGAACGAATGAATGAATGAATAAGAGAAGCCGAGGCCTGCGAGCCTGGAACTGAGAAGTATTCCTATCTGACACATTTCAGAGACGTAGGACAAGAGCCTGGGATTTAATATGTGCTGGAGTCTGCCTCCCAGTAGGAAGAGGATTAGTGGCAACAGCAGTTTACCATAGCCCAAGGACATAATTTAGTCTTCTAAGTCAGAAGGCTTTTTTCTGAGAGCGAGGAATCTCCTTACTGACAAGATAGTACCCAACGCAGCCAGAACTAGGTGGGAAGTCATTTGGGATGAAGTCACCCTGTGGCAGTTAAAAAATATATATATACTGGGGTGCCTGGGTGGCTCAGGTGGTTGAGCATCTGACTCTGGGTTCTGGTTCAGGTCATGATTTTAGGGTCATGAGATCGA